TAACTGCACATTTATGTGTAAACATGTAAAAAGTCCCGTTGGCAAGGTTAGGGCCAGCACTATTATGGTAATGACTCGCAAATGAGATAACAACACGCACAAGTAAAAACACAGCTTTCTCTACCACAATACTGAGACCTGTACTACGAAGCCAGTTCAGCTTACCCAGGATACCTTTTCGTTATCTGGTTTGACTAACCCTAACACTGGCTGTATGGATAACCAATATTACAAAGCTGGTTAGCATTTCAGTCAACTCTTCATTTTCCTATCCAGCCATGAGCCCGCTCATGTAAAAGAGGCAGGGGTGTTAATTGCGAGGGACATCATCAGAACCATGAATGAAGTAGGCTGCTTCATATCATATGAGATGAAACTGTGCCGAAACTGTCTATGACTGCCAGACAGTAAAATGCCAGTGGTGTGGGATGTAAACAATGCTCTGTAATCTTATAACGGCAAATGTACAATCACTGAAAATACTATCCAAAAATTCACCGGTGGACTTAAATTACATGCAGGTATCACTGAGATATGAACCTATGTGACAGCGGTATCGAGTATTTTTTGCTGTTTAGTTGGTTGATATGTTTAATATGTTACATAAAGCAATTTAAAGACTTTCTTCTACTGCAATAACAAGTGGAAAAGAGGCCTAGTTAATCACTGACCAAAATGTGGCATTTATAATAACAGGAGCCAATTAACAGTGTGTGGATTATTTTTACCAATTAAATATGATCTTTTTTTTCTCATCAAACAGGTGTCTGATGTTATTTTGAGCTGCAGTGATGAATCAGAGAGTAGAAGTAGCAGCAGTGTCAGTGATCACTGCGGACTAAAGTAAACTTTGCATAAGTTCAAATACAGCTAAAATCATGTGTATAGTGTGTAAACGATCTCTCTGTTTGGAGTGGAAATCAAGCCCTGGAACAATTAAGTTTTTCAGTTGACCTATAACAACATATAGGCTACTCTTTTTTTTACCTGAGACTCTGGACTTTTGTCCATGGATAACTTTTTCCTAAAGTGATCTGACTGGTCAGAGGTCGGGGTGTTGACAGGTTGTGATCCGATACTTTGAAGTCTGGAGCAGGTCAGCTGTTCAGCGTAAGTTACCATGGTAGTTTATCCCGATAAAAAGAGAACCAGCTTCGTAGTACTGAAAACCCAGAGTTAACCCCGAAGTTACCTCGCTAAAATCAAATCCTGCTTCGTCGTACAGACTTCTGAACACTGAGTCTCTGAAAATCTTTACCCTTGATGGAGTTTAACAAAAGGTTCAGTTTCACTCACCTAAATTGCTGTTTGCATGTGGACAAAAGGACAAAACATGAGAAAAGCTTTGTTCGCAAATATATTCATGTATGTGTGGATCAAGCCTTACCCATACAGACCATTCAGGAGTTGCACTGATTAGTGATCAGATAGATGCTTCCACAGTATGTCACACCCTCTGTATGAATCTAAGTTGTCTTCTGTTTATATGAGATTGGAACAAAGCTGGCTAGTTTCAGGGTTATCTGGTCAAAATAAGTTAAAATAAATAAGTAAAAACAAGTAAAGATCCAGTTTTATCAACACCATATTTAACATTTAAATCATCATTATATCAACAAAGACCAGATCTGGATGTTAGATTCAGTCTTGTTGTTGGTATGCAGCCATTTTGTGATTTAAAATGAAGTCAACCGTAAGTTTTCCCACTCTACCTGCAGCTACGCTGTGTGACAGCTTTTGTCCATGTTGACTTCTGCTGTGAGAATGATGTAACCACAATCAATCACAGTGACAACCTGTGGTTGTGCTTGTTCTTAGCACTGGCTTGTCAGCTACAGGTTCCTCCACCACTGGGATTTACAGTTATCAGCACCGGGGCACTGTGTTGTATCACCTCCTCTTTCCTTTCATCACTCTCCCCCTCATTCACGGCACTTGCTCAGTCTTACCCTTAAATGTATTGCAGACATGCTCGTGTTTTGCACATGAGTTTATACAAGAACACACATGCAAACTATATATTGCATTTTATTATTTCCTTTTTTCTAATTCCTGTACATTCCCCATGCCTGAAGGTCACCACTCTGCTGCTCTCCTACATGGGGTTTGTCAGGATTTGCTTTCTCACTGAGAGTCCCTATCAATTAATAGAAACAGTTGAGACAGTGTCACTAAGAGGGTTAGTCACACAGAGCTATCCCAATGCCTGCCAACACTGTCATGTCATCTGACTTGTCTCAGCTCAGGCCTCAGGGCTATTCCCTTTTTAGAGAAAGAGCAAGGCAGAGAATGAAAGGAGCTAAACCCACACAGATGAAAAGCCCCGGAGTTAGGAGTGGTGAAGCGCATCGATAGTGTGCACATAAATGCACAACCAGGCATATTCATCTGTTTAGAGCATATGGTTGGGACAAATCAAACACACAAAGTTGCATACACACATGCATCATAAACAGAGCTTCCTCCTTCAACCGGCATAACCCTCAGCACTCTGTCAAAGTGTCAAGCTTTACAGGATCCATAGAGGTGATCTATGAGAGCAGCATACATCTCTTGATGTCATCAAAACACTGCGGCGAGAGTTCATCCGTTGACAGACATATTGCTTTGGCAATAACAATGCCATGAAAACTGTTGTGCGTATCCATAGTCAGTCTGTGAATCATATATATGTCTCAGTTTGTCATGTGCATTTGAAAGACACCACTTGGAAATGACACTTATGTGCCTCTGAGCTGTCACAATTCAACTTGACAGCCACAGTAGCCAACTTGTTTGTTTGCTGTTTCAAGTCTTTATATTGAATGGTATCTTGATTAAAACCATACGACAGATGTCACAGATTTACGTACCAAAATGGCACACATCAGGGTTAGGGCTTGATAGCATTTTATTGAATCTAAATCTTCTATCTAATAATTTTTTTCCAGTACTACTCAGATGCACATTCAGAGTCTGTGTACATTTCCTTGCCATCATTTAGGCAGTAGTTCGCTGTGTATGGAAAGCACAGACACCTACGGGCTATGAGTGCTGCAGCCCATTGGCACAGTACAGTGTGAGACACATTGCAAAACACTGAGTGACAAATACAGAGCCTGCCAGTGTTGCCTGGTGGTCTTGTCTTGCAATTATAACTCAACTACTGTATCGAGCCTGTGACCAACTCTTCAACTCTGCTGACACATTTGGAAAAGCCATATGGTAAATAATTAGAGCTGAAAGTGTAAGCACTTTGTGTAGCTGCTGAATAATATATGAACTCCCAGGCTGGTGAACATACATAGAAAATAAAAAAGAAAACATATTTGAGACAGATGCGTACTTCACATTCCCATACTTCCCTCCATTACACACACACACACATACCCACACACACACAGAAGAACAGCTGATAGACAAAGCATATAACCTAAGAGGTTTACATATTGTCTACCTTGTTTTCTGCATAATGGGGCAATTATATGCACTGAACCATGCGGTGTGGTTTAAAATATCCATACATAAATTATAGACTCAATGTGCAATCTTATACACAGTGTGTGATGTGGCCTTTTTGCCCCAAACTACAAACTGCGATATCACAGATTACAAGGGCTGCCCCCTAATTGTCGACCAAATGTTATGCAACTAGAAAGGTCATTAGTCGGCAAGATTTCATTGGTTGCTTAGTCACAGAAAAAAACACACACAAAAAAAGAATCTCTATCAGGAGCTGCACCTCATCGAAATGAATCAAAACTTATATGACTGGACCATGTGGGAATTTAATTTGAAAAGACAGACACAGGAAGTGGCTACGATCAGCGGTCAGAGAGGAGTCGCGTTACAAACCAATCACAGCCGACAGATATCTTTCCCTTCTTCTGTAAATATTCAGTCTGATAAACACGGAAACGTTGATCATGTTAGTGCGGGGCTACCCAGAGCTTTACATCTGTCCCTTTGATGATAGGCCTACACACTTATAAACAGCACCTGGAAGAAGATCAGCTCTGCACTCAGGATTTCAGGTAAATAGGCTATACGCTGCTTGTTCAGGTTGCTTAGCAACCTCACATGCAACCTGCCGCCGTGCTCTTGAAAGCTGGCACAAAAAAGGCACAAGAGTAGCACCCAGAGTCCGATCTCTCTTTTCCAGGTGGTTAAAGACACAGCCCCTAATTTCCAGGGCTGGTACCTGTGGTTATTCCACAGGCTAGTTAATAACATGTCGGGCAGGAAATCCAAAGTGTGCGATCATTTTGAGAAGGTGAAGGAGGAACCCAAGGTGATATGTAAACTCATCTTCATTGGTCGACTACAAACATGACGTATCATCTGAAACATGGAAGTAGCTACATGCCCATTAGCCCACAGCGTCATTAACAGGCGGCTCGCTCAGTGTGTGACGTGCACTTGTAGATAAAATATAGGCCTATATTAATGAAGGTTCATTAGTTCGGTTTTGTATTTCTCTGTAATGTAGCACAGTGTTAACAATGTTACTGATAATATTCTTTCTCACACCTTCAACTCAAACCGTTGTGTTGCCCCGCCCAAAATGTTCATTTAATTATTAAATTAATATCGTAAACATGCAGGCGACTAGTTAAATATGGCCCTAAATGACGACTATTGGTTGACTAGGAAAATTCTTAGTCGCAGGCAGCACTACAGATTACCTACTGGATGCCTTCCTCTTTGTGGACATTTTACCCTTATATTAAGTTAAAGGAAACAAAAGGAAAGCTCCAACAACTTCAGTCAACTCAGGCAGCTCATCAACATCAGCACCAAGATGACAAAAAAAACTGTGTCAGCAAATTTGGAAACTGTAACTTATTTCATCCAAGCAATCCATTAAAAACACTGTAAACATTTTCAGTGAAAAATAGGCCCTGCAGTCGTTGCAGTCTATTTTGATTCATTTTTAAACTATAACTGCTACTGTTGCAAATTGTTCAAGATCTAACCAGACAGGTTATTTTCAGTTCCTAACAACCGAGCCATCTCCTCACCTGGACATCTCCATCGTGTCCTTAGTGAGATAGACGATCCAATAGACCAGGTTGAAGGCGCCAAACGAAAGGGGGAAGAGGATGCGTGAGTATTTGTCGATGATGCTGGTGCCAGTTAGGACGTTGTTGGCCGGTACGGCTGAACCCTGCTGCAGGAAGGCTTGGGCATTGACAGGTGGGTTGGGGAATGTTTTGGCAGGGCGGTCAAACAGCGGGGCAGAGTTCATCCTCTTCTTCAGCACACTGCTGGGATCCACCTTGGAGAGGCACAAAGGAAATATAGAATCTCTAAGAGGAAATTGACATTAAAGGAAATGTTGCATGATGTAATATGAGGGTTTTAATTATACAACTGGTGCTGTGCTGTTCCCAGAGAGTCATGAAAGCATCATGTTATGTGCAAGGAATGTTAATACTGTAACTGATTCTGCATGTAAAAGGACAAGATGTTATAATGAAATTTATATCAACACGTTGCACACAGAATAAAAAAAAAATCATAAAAAATGAATCCTCATGTTGTGTCGTATTTGTGCAGCTGTGAGTTGAACAGTGCATGTGGGAAATGTGTACGTGAGCGAAAAAACTGCCTGGAATACCAATGAGCACCACAGTAATTAAGCTCGACAAAGGAAATCAATGATGTTTTGTTTCTGATTTGATGTGATTTCAATCAACCCGTTCCATGAAGATTGATACAGTTGTGGGAAGCAAACAAAACATATTAAACAAAAGGGGCTTGCAGTGTATTGACACATGGTTATCGCTATGCTTCATCAACTTTCAGTAAACCAGTGTGATCTCAGCACATGCTCCCTGCTCCAATAGTTGTAAATCAGCTACAGTATGTGTGCGGAGAGGAAGGCAGAGTACATCTGGGAAATGGGTCAAGGAACACCGTGTTGCCTGTAGGTAGAGTCAGAGAGAGTGAAACAAGAGAGCCATGGCTTTTTATAAACCAAAGAAAACTGTGTAAATTACTGTATAAACCTAGAGTATCACAGAAGGAACACAGACAGTCAGTTCTTAATGGATCAAGGCAGAGACTCCATTAAGGTAGTATGGAACTAAGCATTGTCCATTTTCAGTTTTCCTATATTATCCACCAGAGCAAGTTTATGATTCTGAAACAAACCATACTTTAGCAGAATACTGTTCACTGCAGTGTCATGTTTGACTAGTTGCTCACAAGTTTTAGGAAATAAAATCCCCATAGTTCCCTGATCGATCCAGTGTTCAGCTGTCGGGCTTAGTCACTTCACTGTGGATGTTTTTTCCAGACCACAGTCTTGGAGTCAAAACTGAACTTGTGAGATTTAGGCTGGATTTGTGAGGCTGCAGGATTACATTCTCCTTTACAGGTTGAGAAACTATCAAACTGTTACAATCCTCTGGCTGTGGGGAGCCCTTCCAAAAATGCGTAGCGGTCAATCTAAAAATAATACTAAGTTAGTGCCCGGGTTGTTTATTTCACAAACCTTAAGTTATTTCCAGATACAGTTGTTTCACCCAACGAAAAATGATTAAAATGTAGTGGTAGCAGTATGACTTTGTGTTCATGCTCATCTTCACAACAACCTTATCAGTGTTTGTCTTGCAGCTATCTTTAGACGTACAATTCACCACTCAGCACTGTGGATTTGTTCCTATAAGTTGAGCCCTCCTGTCATTCCAATTCTCCATAAAGGTCTGACAACAGGAGCGTTACCATGGAAACATGAAACAGAGAAAAACAAATGGTGAAGGCCGACAGATGAAGGTTGGTACATGTTTGTAAATTACATGATTGTGGCTCAGCTTGAGTACATGCAGTAGGAAACTCCTCTTTGATCTGAAGCAGTAAACTCTGGTAAACTATAAATCTGTAATCCATGGTCCCCCCGAAACACAAGATTATCTTTCACTGTGGTATAGTACTGATAGTTGCCAAGTATAGGAATATAAGATGTTGCACTATGATTAAAAAAAATCTGCACCTCTTGTCAGGCTTCATTAGCGTGAGATATTTATTTACTGGAATCTACAGTAAAACAATCATATCAGCTTTTCACCCGTGACAAAAACAAGAGTTAAACTGTACCAGGATTGTGAAAAGTCTATGGGGTAGAAGAAGGGAGAATAAAATAATAGATTGGCACTGGTCAAATCCTATAGCAACATAACAGCGGGGAAGAGCTTTGAGAGGGAGTGGGTCCTTCGGATCTAACAGCTGGCCACCCTGATGTTAAGCCTACTCATCACTCAATTACAATGTGTGCCCCTATCTGTGAGTTAGGTATGCGTCCTCCTGTTGAATTATTATCTCCACCTAGAGGGGATTATGCATTTGGTTTTGCGTATGTGAGTGTGTGTCTGCAGCTAATCTCAAATACTATTGGACCTATCAGCCTAAAATTTTGTGTGCACATTTATGACTGTATGCTTAAGAAACTTGTGCGGTTGCAGTGATTCATAACTGTTGAAAAACCTGACTTGTTAGCTGCTTTATATCATCATTGTCTGCTGACTTTTCACTCCTCTTAACTAGCCGATAGGGGCCACAAGTTTTCCGGCAATCGACCCAGCTATAAACAACAAGCCTTATCGTCTGTTGCAGGCCACATTTTGGTCTTCGCCATGCCTCAAAAAAACTGACATCCGTAGAAAAGCTTGTTCTTATTTTGAAATGGATCATCTGTAGATTATTCCATGCCCAATATGTTAGATACACTAAAGTTAGTCATGTTACGAGATGAATTGCCACTCGTTTTTGTTACCCTTACCGCCATCTTGACTGTAAAGGAGCCAAGAGGGACAGTTCCATTGGCTGCAGCTTCCCGCAATCCATCTGCGACCTAGTTTTGCTCGGCCCCTGCATGGCATGGTACCAAACCAGTAGTGTTTTTGACAGGGAGCGTTTTGCTTGACTTATTTTGTCAGTTTTTATTGATTTGGTAATTTTTCCTTGATATTTGGGCTTCTACCATGAGTAAGTAAGTAGGCGACATAGTCTCCTTTGGTCTGTATTATTTGCCTCCATTGTTATTTCCTTGTTTGTTGTGCTGTAGCCTTGACAGACAAAGTTAATACCGCTCAAAGTCAAGTTGTGCCTTGGCTCTGGCAAAAGTAGATGAAGCATGTTCTTCTTAGCTTCTGGGAGTTTCTGAAATGCATCTGCTGAAATTAAAGGATTTGTCTCGGGTGGCAGCGATCAGCCCTGTCGGCTACTTGGCCAAATCTCCAAACCAGGCTGCGGCTTCAAATGTCAGCTCCCTATCACTGAAATGCTTCCTTCTGAGGTAAAAGATCATGCTGTGATTAAACACTGCGTGCATGACCTGTGTGTGCGGCGTACTGTACGTATGCGCAGCTGATCCGATACACAAGCTATTTTTGATAATGACAACAGGCTTGCTTGGCTTCTTCCTGGTCAAATCCCTGGGGGATCAGCTCCTCTTCTCTTTATCCACTGCTCTAGATTTCACCAGACCCACTTTGACATGGGGAGGATGGGCACTGACTGATAGATGTATGGATGTTGTTTGGGTGTGGGCAGTCATGTGTGTGGGTGGGCGGGGGTTACATGCGAGAGTGTTTCATAGTGTAAGTGTTGGCTTGAGTGTGATATAACGTTATGCTAGCTGTGCACTAACGATATGCCATGGGAGTAAGTGCATGGAGGTTCATCAGCGTGGGTGCTGAGTGGGTGTGTTTACATTTGTAGATGGTTATTAGATGGTAGAGATGAATATGTGTATGTAAATGCTAATGCATTTGAGGCAAGGCTGTAGGTATCCTGGATATATCAGCCATGACACTTTTTATTGTTTAGATTTTTTTAGACAGCAAGAGAATAAAATGAATATAAAGTGGGATTAAAAATGTAAAGTACACATTATTTTATCAATTAGTGTTTCCGCATCATCGTCGTTGTTTATCACAAATGCCTCGAGAGTTGAACCAGTAAAAAGATGCAATAAAGCTGAGTGAAAACAAAGACTGCCTGATCATCAGCTACAAATAAACTGCAGTTTTACACCTTCACGACATCCTCTAAATATCACACTGCATTCTCAATATCTACTGCAGGATTGTTGGTTGACATGCAAGAAAAGAAGACTCTGAAAGACTTGTTTGACTTATGTTTCTGACAGGTCATCCTGTCCTGCCTCTAGTTATACGAGTTCACACTCTAACTTGAACCCTGGTATAATATAAGCCACTAGCTTGCTATGTGACTTCCTCCAGATGGAACTGTAAAGGATGATATAAAAGATGCTAGTAATAACACAGCCCCCGTTTGAGACCTCAGCAAATGATTTGGTCACATTGTATCCCTTACACAAAGCTAAGGGTTAAAGTCAAAACATTTCACAAATGTCTTCTTTTGGTCCTGAATGATAGAAAGGTTGCCCAGGGCGAAAGTAACTTTTAAGTCCAACATTTCAACAGACTGAGCCACTCCACTCTGCTCCTTTTCTCCGCTGGACAAATGTTAAGTCTGCTACTGTGGCTTGTTGTGGCAGATATGTTGCATAATAATCACTGGTTTCGCATCACTCTGGTCAGACGGACGACATTTATGAGATTTGGAAAACAGCTTTGAAGATGCAACACCCTGCTAATTAAAAAGTTTGTGAGGAATGTTATGTGACCAAAGCCCTATTTGCATGGAACTAGAATTACTTGGGGACATGTGATTTAGAAATTACCCCCCACATCTTTGTTTCATGCAGCGCATTTGCACGGGATAAGCAAAGTCTGTATTTTACTCAAATTTACTGACATTATCCCCTGCATATGATTTAACACAGAAACATTAAACAGCACTTCTGGCTGTACTGTACGATGCTAACCTCCTTTTTTTTCTTTTAAATGTAGGTTAAACCAGTGGTTCTCAAATGGTGTGCCATGATGCTAATCTAGATGTGCAATGGGATTTTATGATAACCACACATTATTATTGCAATATTCAGCTGGGCCTATACAAAAAGTTATGAATGAATTTTTAAATGACTGCATCACTATGTTGTGCACACCCATTTCCTAATAAAGAGGCAGTATATTAATAATTTAATTCAATAAACCTTCACAGGGAACCTATTTGTAGCTGTTTGCACATGGGAATTTTAAGTGTCAGACACATCAAAAGCCCTGATTGGCAGCCAGTGTGAGGGATGGTAACATTTAAAGGAGAAAGCAAGGAGTTGGACAATGGATTGCTTTATTGTATGGAGCAAATTACAACAAAGCACCACCGAAGATGACCAACCACCAA